GATACCTTAATATCATCTGCAAATTTAAGTAATTTATTGACCATTCCTTCATCTATGTTATTGATGTAAATCAAAAAGAGCAAAGGTCCTAAGAATGAGATCTGAGGTACCTCACTTGTAACAGTAATCCAATTTGACTGAACTCCATTAGTAACAACCTTCTGCTTTCTTACATCGAGCCACTTTTCTATCCAATTTGCTAACTTATCCCCAACACCTATAGAGATACTTTTTTACAAGCCTTTTGTGTGACACCTTGTTAAATGCTTTATGAAAATCAAGATACACCTTACCCTCATCTACATAAGCAGTAACTTTTTCAAAGAATGTAAAAGATTTGTAAGCAAGATTTTCCCTTAGTGAAACCATGTTGACTATCCAATAAAATCTGAAACTTTGTTAAATGACATTGCCAAGCATCTTTTAACAGACTTTCCAAAATATTCCCCATAACTGATGTAAGACTAATGGGTCTATAAATACTGGGACAATTTTTATTACCTCCCTTGAAAAGAGGACTTACATTAGCTAACGTCCAATCCTCTGGTATCTGCCCACTATTCAAAGACTGACAAAAACTAGTAGTAAGTGGCTCAAATATATCCAATCTTTAATCTTTTTCAAAACCCTTGGGGAAATATTATCTGGCCCAGGAGCCTTATTATTTTTTAAACTTCCCAATTTTTTCTTAACCAGCTGAGAATTAATGCAGTCATCTTGTTTGATCTCATTTCTATTTATCAACTGTTCAAGCTTTGGAATACTGCTTAAATTTTCATTAGTAAAATCCAACGAAAAAGCAAAATTTAATAACCCAGACATCTCACAATCATCAGATACTAGCCTTCCTTTATCATCCCTAAAGGGTCCTAACCCCATCCTAACATTTTGTTTACCTTTAATGTATTTAAAGAAATCCTTATTGTTAATTTTTACATTTTCAGCCAACCTTTTGTCATACATCTTTATGTCCTAATTTCCTATTTCACCAAACTTTTTTGATCTTCTATAATCTTCTAAGTCCCATGTCATAACATTCTAAATATATTTCTTAAATTTATTATGCTTTTCTTTAAATTTATCTCTTAAACTCTTTGTGAGCCAACCTGGATTTTTACTTACAGCTACCCTTTTCTTTATATAAGGAATATGTTCACCTTAAATATTTAAAAGTTTATCTTTAAAAATTTTCCACATCTGATCAGTGTCTCCAAATAACTCAGTTGCCCAATTCACAACAGATAATTCTTGTTGCATCCCTTCAAAATTTCCTTTTTTGAAATTTGTAACCAATATATCGTTATTCCTTATCTTCATGTGCAGCAAAATATTGAACCTAATAGATCAATGATCACTTGCACCCAGATGTTCCCCGATTTCCACCCTTTCCATAATTTCTATATTTGAAGTTAACAATAAATCTAAAATAGCACTATTTCTAGCGGGTTCCTTGACTAATTGATGAAGAAAGCCATTTTGAATAGTTCCTAAAAAACCTTTCTCCCTTATGGTTTGACTCTAGCATTTCCAAATCTATACACCTGAAATTAAAAGTACTCATAATTATGACTTCATTAATAGCTGAAATCTTAATCTCATTGTAAAGTTTCTCACTAGTTCCATCAGTATCATTTGGTGGTCTGTAAAAAATTCCCACTAAAAGCCTTTTCCCTTTATATCCACTAAACACAAATGGATTCAATCTCTTTGCTATTATCTTTGATATCCTCAACTTCAACAGGATTTACCTCGCATTTTACATATAAAGCCACTCCTCCCCCTTCTTAATACTCTATCCCTATTAAATAGCCTGTAACCCTGTATTTCAAAGAAATTTCTGTCATTAAAATCACCTACGTTTAATCATGTTTTAGTTATTCCCATTATATCAAAATCCTCCATTCGTACCAATGCTCTAAAGTCATCTATTATATTTTTTATACTTCTATCATTAAAATAATAACAATTAAGCTGTGAAGATTTTTGTGCACAACACAAGCCTTGAATGAAGCTTGCACCCCCTGCATATGTTAGTGTGTACTGCACCATCCAATGATGTAATCATTATCAGATTATAGCCCTCCACCAACAGGAGGATAAAACATCCTCCATGTACAGTAATCCCTATTAGTACTACCTTATAACTACTTCTATACACATTTCCTATGCTAAACATTTCTTTGCCTCTTATTCTTTTTGTATTTAGTTTTTCCAGGCCCTCACCACTGTCTAGTCCTAGTTTAAAACTTTCCTTACAGCAAACAAGCCAGCCCCTACCCTATTTAAATGTAAACCATCCATTCCAAAAAGCTCCCTTTTTCCACTGAACTGATCCCATAAATCCAACCAGCCAATCTTTTCATCCTTACAAACTAACCTAAGCCTAACATTTAGCTCTAGTGACCTACTTATAACCTAATTCCCACAGTTAATTCTAGGCATTATCCCTTACAAAATTAAATTATGACCTCTTTCTTTAAATGTCATTATCAACCCCTTGTACTTATTAATTAGCTCCTCTGACCTGCCTTTCCCTCTGTTAGCCCCCCTTATTATATCTCCTGCTCTGTCAGTTATATCCTTCACCTGTGCTCCTGGGTAGCATTGTCTGATTATTTTATCTCTATTTACCCCACAGACTATTCTATTCACATGCCTTGTCAAGGAATCATCTATAACCTCCTTATCATCCACATCCTTCTCTGACCCTTTTGTTTTCTTTAATGTGGTCAATTGTTTGAGTTGGATGTCTAAAATCCCATGCACCTGCGAGACGACAAAAACAGCATCACTGCTAGTAGTAGCACCATTTACTACATTACTTGTTCTGTCAGTTATATCCTCCACCTCTGCTCCAGTATAGCATAATGTAATTATTTTCTCCCTACTTACCATGCAGACTATTCTATCTACACACCATACTATAAAGAATCACCTATAACAATAACCTTCTGATGTTTTTCATTTCCATCCTTATCATTTTTTGTTATCCTCCCTTGTCCTAGTTCCTCATCTGCACAACCTAAAGGCTGAAATCTATTATTTATTAGAACCTGCTCATGGTAATTATACTACTGCTAGTCCTGTTAGTAGTTTTTAACATCCTGAGAGTCGTTATTAGTCATTGTATCCTTTGCATGTAAAAGCTTAAGTTCCTTTTTAAATTCTGTTGCCATTTCCCACAGTTTGCTTTTTTCTCTTTATCCTTCGCCTCTACCCTATTTTGTATAGCCTTCAATTTCTCCTCCAACATACCAACTGTACATGACACACATTTAAAATTTGGAAAAGATATGCAAGACTCTAGTTAAGATAATTTTATTTGTTAACAGGGTGATTGGTGGAAATGAAATGAACTGCCGTTACCAGTAGATCACAAAAGTTCATGAGAGGAATCTATGCTTTTCTGAAAAAGAATGGGTGTTTTTCATTTTTAATTAAAACTCTCTTGGAGTGGGACTGCAGAGACAGTCTTGTTGGTGTAAATTGTCCCTTACAGTCCATATTTTATAGTTTTGTTATGAAGTTTCTGGAAATCTTGATACACATCATTAATATGGATACTCTCAATCAGACAAGTAAAGGCCCCATAAAAAAACAGTTGTATTCAACTGCTTACCAATACCCTACTTTCCTATACCTCTTTTAAAAATAGGTATCACACTAGTTACCTTCAAATAATCCTGTGTCTAGACTTATGTAAAATTTTATTAAAACCTCCTAAGTAAACCTCTTTTAATTTTTAGGATGTATTTTTTCAGGGTCGTGTTTCTATTTCCGAGTCTTTCCAAGGTATAATTTCCTTTAATACTGAACAAAGAGAGAAAATCTAGTGTACTTGCTAGGTGAGTGGGGGATCAGCTACATCGAGAAATCATACAAGTTGAGTATTGAGTAGCAGGTTTTGTAGGGCTTGATGTGAGGAGCAGATTAGGTATTGTATTTAGTAAACTGAGTGGTCAAATCATACTTTTCTCCTGGCCAAAACTTTGTGATGTCCACCTTATGGTTATGACTTTTTTCTGACCAACAATGGTCTGGAACACTTCTTCTACCTTGACATTCTCTCAGAAAGCATGTACTTTCTGTTGCCACAGCATTGTTCATCTTTATCAGGCCCATCCAAGCAACAGGTTAAAGAAAATCCAACACCCAGATCTACATGCTTGAGAGGAAGCCACAGGCTATCAAGTAGATTGTCCACATAATTGAATTTGAAAAGTCCAAAGTAAACATACGTCATACTATCCATGTACTTGAGGACATTACTACTATAGACCACAAGATAGGCAGGATGACAAACTTTGTCTCTTTGTAGCTTGTTTCTTTTGATATTTGGCCTCTTAGTCACTTACCCTGAGGGATGGCAATGCCAAAAAAAGTCCAGAAACAAAGTAGAGATGAATACACAGAACCATACACAAATCACAACATAAGTAGCCACATCTTTCTAAGAATAACTTCTATCTACAACTAAATGATTTCCTGTCAGTTGCATGAATTCAGGTTTGAATAAAAGCATTTAAATAGAATAGTGCTATATAGTCTTACAGTGACTAATAACCATAAGCGTAAAATCATAAATAATATTCAACGTTAAACTGGTACACAATTAAAAACCTTTTATTTAGGCCTATCTATGGCCTTCAAAAAGTTGATGCCTCTACATGTTTCGACATTACAATGTCATCCTCAGGCTTAGAACATACAACTACAAGTACTATATATAACTTTGCAAGCTTTAAAAAAAAAATAAAAAAATGAAAGGCCTAGCAAGTACTAGTTAGCACCACATTCAAGTTACTCATTTGTTAGCAGTTAACGATAAACATGTAACGGCACTTTTCTAATTTATTACTTACAAGTTACAGCTTATAAATATAACTTATATTATTGATACATTTATTGATTTACTCCATCACTGATGGTGATAGTAATAATTACTAGTATCAGCGTACAGCATTCATCTACTGTTTCTGTTGTATTCTTTATAGCTTTATATTACTAATAGTAATATTAAGTAATAATATTTTAAACACAACTACTTGAACTAGTATTAATATTAAAACTATTACTAGTAGTAGTAGTAACACTAACAGCGTTTGAGTATCACTATTATTAACAAATAATTAAGATTAAAACATTACTTTCAGTCTTGTTAAACAGTTCGAGTCGGATCTACAAGAAAATAGACTTCTACGTTGTAGTTCTGACTATACTATAGTGTTCAATTTTTGTAAATTAATAGTTGACTATTCTGAATGTTCAACTCGACATACATGATACATAACTTATAATATTATATAACATTAACAAGCCTAAACCATCGTGCGACAGATATGACTCTCGATCATCAGAGCCTGATGTAGACAAAGGCATTTCTTCCTTAATTATTAATATGCTAGAACAAGGATGCAATCATTTACATTCATACCGATATAGGCTTTCCTAAAGTCTGTTGGATAACCTCAGCAGTCTTCTTCAAAAAATCATCTGGAATTTTATCCTTAGGGAGATTTGTATTAAGCGTAAAGACCGGCATTATCAATCTTAAAGTTAGACTTGACAACCGACTTCACCCAACTCGGCGGTACATGTAAACTAATATTACGCTGCGTTACAGAAAAATAGTCCAACCACTGTTACGTTTTCGACGAAAAAATAAAAAGAAGTATTTTTATATCCCTCTTTGAAATATAGGGATAAATTGTGACGGAATAATCGAAGTTCTCATTAGCAGTATCCAAGGGCGTCTTCACAAATATTTTTTTTTGGGGGGGTGGGAGTTAGGTTTAGCAAATAAACATAATAATTTCAAGACGAAATTCGATTGATGACGTAATTGTAGTGGGGGTAGCAAATGTTTTTTCTGTTTTTTTTTTTCATATTTCCACAAAAACCTTCATTAGACTTCACAATATAAGTCAACACACAGTTAGTCGCGTTCGCAAATCATTATATTTCTATTTATTTATAATGGCTGGAGACAGCTTGAATGGGTAATGAAGAAAAACTTTAATATAAGTTTA